ATTTTCTCCTGTAAAGATAACTGGTAGTCTCAGAATTCAGTTAATCCAACTTAATCAATACAAATCTTTTAGCTCAGTGGTTCTCAACCTTCCTAATGCCGCGACCCTTTAATACAGTTCCTCATGTTGTGGTGACTCCCAACCATAAAATTATTTTCGTTGCTACTTCATAACTGTAATTTTGCTACTGTTATGAATCGTAATGTAAATATCTGATATGCAGGATGTATTTTCATTGTTACAAATTGAACATAATTAAAGCATAGTGATTAATCACAAAAATAATATGTAATTACATATGTGTTTTCCTATGGTCTTAGGCGACCCCTGTAAAAGGGTCGTTCGACCGCCAAAGGGGTCGCTACCCACAGGTTGAGAACCACTGTTTTAGCTAATACAAAAAATTATTAGTTATTATTAAGACATATATATCAAAATAAAATCTTGAATTTCAAAGAAACATATCAGAACAAATTTATTCTATTACTACCAATAGTATATAAACTCAATATTCAAGATCTGACATATCTATAATAAAAAAAGTAACATTTACAATATAGAAGGTGTATTAGTCAGCGTGGGCTTCCATAACAAAATACTACAGACTGGGTGGCTTACATAACAGGAATTCATTCTGATGCAATTCTGGAGACTAGAAGTCCAAGATCAAGGTGCCTGCAGGATTGATGTCTGGTGAGAGCTTTCCCCTTGGGTTGCAGATGGCCACCTTCTCACTGTGTGGTCACATGGCTTTTTCTGGATGTTCACCCAAAAAGAGCGTGGGAGCTCAGTCTCTGGATCTTGCTTAAGGAACCCAATCCTATCAGACCTGGGGTCCACTCTCATGACCCCGTATAGTTATAATAATCTACATTGAGGATTAGGGCTTCCACATAGGAATTTGGGGCTCACAAACATTCAGTCCGAAACAGTAGGTTAAGGAGTATGTTGCTAGATTCATTAATATATAAGAAAGTTGAGACAGCATCCATATGCTGAACAACGGGCAATCTTTCTTATAAGGAACAGAAGTGTGTTTGGGTATACCTGTCAGTAAAGCTTAATTCAAAACAATGTCAGATTTAAAAAACTTAGACTACAGAATTATTCTCAAAATTCATTTTCTGATCATTGTTTTGTGATTCAGAATATCTGATTTATGACAGTAAAATAGAAAAACAAAAAATTACCTGGATCATATTATTGTGATACATCTCAGGCTTTTATACCCAGGCTTTAATGTGAAAGTTTAAATTATATGTATGAACATTTTCTACAGAAAAAAACTACCAGTAACTTTAAATTAATGGAAATTTTAAATGACCTTTAGCTTTTCTTACTGTAACACAACTGTACATGTTTCAACAGTCCCTTTAGATATTATGAAATTACATGTTATATCTTCACACATGACAGTAGGATATAACTATATCCTCTAGTTGTAATTATAGGAAAAGTATAGACAACTGTAATGCTAAGCTTTATTGTTTTATAAATGAACCAGTAAAGTTCATTTTAGTGAAATGAGCACACGCTTTTCATAAATTAAAATAAATCTCACATGGTAAAGTACCCATTTTCAAAATTAATTTAATTACATGTTTAAAGTTTAATTACATTTAATTAAGCATTTAAGTTTAATATGAAATAAACGAATTATCAGTTAACTACTATGAAATGAAATACTGCCTTGATAATTAAAATCTATAAATTTTCCTATTTTGTATGCAAAACTGCTAGTTCTCAAAAATAGTCCGAAAATTATATTTTAAAGACTACAGGACACTGTACTCTCACAGCCGAGCTAGGTGTTGTTTTTCAGGCACCCAGTAAACAGATGCAGTCTATGCAGAAAAGAGCAGAGGTTTGGGAGACCTGAATTTGGGTGCCAGCTTGGTCATTTACAGAGAGTCGTGGGAAAGCTACTTAGTGTCTCTAACCTCAAATTTCCTATGAAATTGGGATATTACCTGGGGGTTGTTGAGAGAATTAGATATCCTATTATCAAATGCCTGGGACAATGCCTGACACGAAGCAGGTTTTTGACAAATGTTAATTCCTCCTCTTTAGTTGTTGAATGAATGAGTAAAACCCTTGTATTTTCTAGCTTAAAATAAGTTTTATCATATATATTTTTAAATTACAAAGTATCACCATATTATTGTTTATGTACTTACATCATACTTAGTGTACATTTTATACTTTTTATTTCCCTAAGCACTCTGTGAATGGAGGCAGTATAGCATTATTGCTAACAAAGATTTCTGAGTCAGAAAGAACTGACTTTAAGTCCAGATTCAACCATTTTCTATTTATGAAATCATGGAAAAGTTATTTTGACCTATTTCCTAAGCATGTATATACCAGTGTACCGGTAAAAATGCAGATTTTATAATCAAAGAAAACATGATAATTTCAAGAGAAACATCAAAAGTGCTTTATTCAAAGTAATGTCCATCGCTAGTTACACATTTCCCCCATCTTTCAGGTAATTTGTGGATACTGTCCCAATAGAACTTTTCTTGTTTTGAGGCAAACCATTCAGAGACCCAATTTTCCACTTCTTCGTACATTTTGAAGTGCTGCGCAGAAAGTGCGTGTGCCATCGATCAGAACAAGTGGTAATCTGAAGAAGCAAGGTCTGGTGAATACGGCTGGTAGGTTAATACTGCCCAGGAAAGATCTTTTAACGTATCTTTAACTGGTTTTGAAGTGTGTGATGGTGCGTTATCACGAAGCAAAATTACTTTGCCATGTCTTCTGGCCCGTTCTGGTTGTTTATGGTCAAAGTGTGGTTCAAATTGATTATTTGTTGTTGGTAGCGATCAGTATTAACAGTTAAACCTGGTTTTAGAAGCTCATAATAGACCACACCTTCCTGATCCCACCAAACGATCATTGTCTTCTCTCTCAAGCAATTTGGCCTTGCTGTCGATGTTGACGGTTGACCTGGGACAAACCATGATTTTGTGCATTTGGGATTCTCAAAATAAATCCACTTTTCATTGTCAGTCACAATTCGATGCAAAAAAGACTTTCTTTCATGCCGTTGAAGCAACATTTTACTGATGACTTTTCGGTTTTCCATTTGTCTTTCATTCAGTTGATGTGGCACCCATTTTCTTTCCTTTAAAATCTTCCCCATTGCTTGTAAACGATTGGAAATTGTTTGCTGAGCAACACTTAATCTTTCTGCAAGTTGTTTTTGAGTTTGACACGCATCTTCATCCAATAATGCTTGTAATTGTTGGTCTTCACACTTTTTCGGTTGACCTGGACGTTCTCTGTGTTTCACATCGAAATCATCACTTTTAAAGTGTTTAAACCAGCGTTCACAAGTATCTTGAGATGGAGCATGTTCACCATAAGCTTCCCGAAGTAGATGACAACTTTCAGCAGCACTTTTCTTCAAAGTAAAGTAATGAATTAAAACTTTCCACAAATGCTTTTTTTTGGCACAAAATTTGACATTTTTAAGCATAAAAATACCTATGATGTTAACACCTTCAGAAAATTTGACATATGTTTTGAAGCTTGTTGTCAATACAACAAAATAGCATACATATAAAATCGCATATATCAACATATGTGTAACTCCATCTATTGAAAAAAATCTGCATTATTAACTGGTACATCTGGTATTTTTATCTGGTTCAGTGAATGGCAAAAATTAGGCACCAGTAAAATCAATATAACCATTCAAACTTAATAAAAAAAAAATTAGTGATGCAGGTAGGACAAGTGGTATTCCCCCCACCTCAATTTTCATAGAAAGATATTTATTTTCACTGAGTCTAAGGAATTTGCCCAAGGTTAACAGTAGAACAAGATCCAGATTTTTAAAAAGTTCTCTATTAGCACTCTTTCCTTTGTAACACAAGAGGTAAAGTGAAGTAGACACAGAAGTTTTTTGAAGTAGTAAAGTAAAAAGGAAAAGAGATCTTTTGACTTAAGTTAATCCTGGCTCTAGCACTTCGTAGTTGAGCCTCAGATAAGTCTTTTCTGTGAATTCGGTATCTTGTTCTGGAAATGGACATATTTACTTTCACAGGTTAGATAACAAAGGTACAGCACACAGTACAGTGACTGACACAGAGCAGTCATTCATTAACAGTAGCTATTAACATTAAGCACCACTTTGGGTAAGTCTGTGGCCACAGACTAGATAGGGAACACCGTAACGAAGTGAAGAACTTCTTTTTGAAACAGATTTAATAAAAATAAATATGATAATCTTCACTAAATTCTTACATAATATTTCTGGAAAGGAGACTATAATTTTTAAGTCATTTCAGTTCATAACTTCCTGTCTATTAAATCTCCATTTGATAACTCATCTCACTTTGAAAATAATGGTTTAACAGTATGACAACAGATTCCATTAATTACCCTTTCTTGATCCAACTGCAATAGGAATAAAATTAAATATTCTTATCCTTTATATATTATTCATTGTCAAGTATTGTAATGTTCAGGGTTTTGTCTTAAAGTTAGTAGCATTATAACATAAGCATGTATTGGTTTAATATTTAAAACTCTTCACTGTAAAACTCAAATCGTAAGTTCTTTAAGTCATCTAAAATACATAAGAGTGTTTTATTTACAGCATTACTAGAAATAGAAAACCATAATAAATAAAATATTGGAAAACCAGTACTTATTTACTTTCTGAAAGAGCACTGTTTGCATTTAACACTGAAATAGCCTGATTTAGAACTATTTTACATTTTCTTGAAAGTAAAAACAGCAGGTATTATAAATTTGGTGTCCAGACTTTTTAAGTTGCAATTAAGAGTAAAAGCATGTCCAACAGTTACAAGACTGGGAAAAGAAGAAAACTATACCAAATAATATGAAACATATGCACAATTAAGGTTACATATTATATAGAAACTAATGTTTATTATTAGGATATGTACTTTTGACATTCATTCTTTCAAAGAATGTGGCAAATATGCATTCTATTAACCTTTGAAATAAAAATTGGGTCATTAACTTACCAGGGTTCTTCATTAAGAGTTGAAGATATTTTTTCTGGAAGAAAAAATCCATGCCATTTTGAAGCCTCTATTAATTCTCGTGGTATTTTTTTTGATGCATCATAATAGTGACCAAATTTTGAAGATGATACTGGTCCAGCCTATTAAGAAAATTCATATTTATTGATAAAGTTTCAAAAATTACTATTTATTTTGTCCAACACTCACCAAAATGCTGATATATTTATGCATTTTAATGTTAACAAGAAAAAGCTGGTATACATAGGCATTAAATTTCAAAGAAACAAATACAACAAACTTTATTTTTTAAAACTATATAGTTAGAAAGCAATCTTTCATCTCCCATGTTTCTTTACTTCTGGAGGTTCCCTAAGATTGACACACAAATTTAAAACCTCCTTAGCTTTTTTACTCTTCATTATAATTTCCTAAATTAAAAAAATTTAATACACATAAGTGTCAATCATTTTTGTTTAAATTCCAGGTTTTAATGACAAATATGTAGTAGCTAAGAATTGATGAGAACGTAAGCCAAATTAATTCATGGTGAGGGGACCAAAAGCTATTTAAGTACATTAAATTGAGCATCATTTTAAAACTAAATTATCACAAGACAATGTGTATATATATTCAACTTTACTTACAAGTTTAATGTTAAGCATATAGTATAAAATGTACTAGGGTGCTCCCGATGGGAAAAAAGCTCAGAAAGTATATATAAGCTAAAGTAAATCAGAAATCTGCCTTAATCATTAGTTAACTGACAATTCCTCTTTTGTGGCCTCTACTAACAATTTCTCCAAAAAATCATTTTTTCTTAAGAAACTCTACTGATGCTGAATTTATTTACATAGGAGAGTAAAATCCTAGTATTATGACATTATTCTTATATTGCTTTGAATGAACTCTGGGTTGATTTCTTTCACTCAGCACATATAAATATATACAACTCTATCCAAAGTTGAACTACTAACAGTTTCATATGGCAATAGTTTCTAATGAAATCTCTGAACTAAATTTACATAATTTCAACTGTCCTGAATGCTACAAAACAGACAAGTTTCAGAACATTCAACAAACTAGGTAGTTGAAGAGCTCTACACAGTAAGTTCTTAAATTATTTTACTAAGGAATTAACAATTTTGTAATTTAGATTAGAAATAGACATTTGCTTGACACTAGGTATTTGCATTTTTAAGACTTTAAGAATTTATATCCTTAACTAAATGCTTACAAACATTAAATTATACAGTAACAGAATAAAATTTTTTAAGGCTAATAGAAACATTATTCTCAGATTCAGTCTTTGGGTTTAGTGTTTATTTTCTAAATAAAATGATTGTTCATCCCTCCATAAGGTACTATTTATTTTCGTTAATGAAGGAGACCTATTAATTGGCCTTATCCAATTTTTCAATGTACTGATGTATGGTTCCCAAGAGATTTATCATGGAAGTATTTACCATGAAAGTACTGATAAATTATGTGACGTTAAAATTTGTTTCTTAAAAACAGGGTTTAAAGTTTTAAAATGTAAAGTTATTAGTCTAAAGCAATTTAAACAAGGTCTGTTCTTTGGCCTATAATCTATTCTTTATCCGGATTATAGTTCAGAATGTTTTTACTGCAATCTCTGCTAGAGCTCATCTTTTTATTGTGTAAGTCCAAGCCCCCTTAATGTTTTAGAAAGGCCTTGACTAACTGAACTTTGATCTGATGTCTTCATTGATAAAAACACCAGGTTGCCCATTTCAGATGCAAATCCCTCTAAGGCCCAATAGAATTTAGTAAAGACAGCAAAAAAGAAGAAACAAGAAGTTTCCAGGATCCTCTTTGAGAATCCTGGGGCACACTGGTGTCCTTAATCCACACTGCTGCATGGATTAAGGTAGGTGATAACCTTTCCAGATTCAAAAGAATAAGCAGAGTGCCTACAAACTGGGTGGAGACTAGGATTTGGTAATAATAAAACACCATGCAATAAAAGCTTGGTCTATGTCAGAAGCCTCTGAAAAGGCCTCAATGTACCACATTCCCAGGCCTAGTAGGGAAGCTTGCAAAAGCCTACCTGAATCAAATAAGCATGAATAATCTATTTTAGCAGGCTGGCCATGGGGAGAGAGAAAGAAAGAGAGACTTTTCTCTTCTTTTAAGTTTGAGTTAATAAATTTATTAGTGGCCTGAAGGTTCTTGAAGTCCTGTGAACTCAGAGAAATATGCTAAATTGTCAAGAAGCAAAATATGCTTTTTAAGTTGCCGATCTCTATTAATGTTTCTAATTATAATATTAATGTGATAGAGATCTCAGATTTGGATTGAATCAAGGCAGAAAATTGATTTCATGCTGTGACAGTTTACATATAGAACATATATAATTCATTAAAATGTAAAAGTAAATTTAGAAGCTTTTATTATAATTGTTACTATATTTTTAGAAATTAAGATTAGATATAAAAAAAATATTCACAAGGAAGAGACTAAAATTTTTATTACTGATGAAAACTTTAATCCTTCAGTAAAAAATGAAAGTGAAATATAAATATACTCTTCAAGAAAAAAACAATTTTGTAAGTTTTTTCTACCCAAGAGACCTAGCATTAACATATAATCAAATTTTTGAAATGCTGTGAACTCTTTTGAGGCCTCGAATTATAAAACAAAGACTCAGAATATTTCCTCTAAAAAAGATAACTAAACGCGTTAAATCTAATATTAATATTAATAGCAATATCCATGAAAAACTCTCAACTCTACGCACACAAAGATACATTTAAAAAAATCAAACTATCATCAGTAACTAGTCGGTTTACTCAATTTAATAAGAACATCTTGCTTTAGTTTACATTATGAAAACTACTGCACATTCATAAACTACCCATTAACTTATTAACTTTGGAAGAGAATAAATTGTAATGATTCAGTAAAAATTTCTGATGGGGGAGAGGGGAGGGCAGGCAAGAGGAGCAATTTCCCACCTCCAGTATGTCAGAAACGAAACTTTCAGAGAAAGCTGCACCACAAATAAGCAATCTAAATAAGACATTTTCTTAAGAATGTTACCATTTCTTCTTTCTCAGTATGGCATAACAGAAAGCAAGAATCCAAATGGTTACTAAACCATTTTGAGCCTCCGTTCAAGCACCAGAATTAGAGCTAATAACTATTTCACTGGGCTGTTATGAGAATCTAATGCAATACTGGCAATGAATATTCTGTAAGTTGTAAAGCATTATGTCAATATTGTTATTATTGTGTCGTGATCCATTAGTGATCAGAAGACTCGTCACTATCTTTTGTAAATTACATTACATTATTGAAAAAAGTATATGTGTTGTCATCCACAACATGCATCTATCACAGGACTTCTGGGGCTTAATCACTAAGATGGAAAACCAAAGTGTAATGAAGATTGAACATAATAAACCTCTAATACACTGTCATAAATTGCTGGAGCCATTTGTTGGCATTTGCAGTAGAGTTCTACAGTACTGAAGAAATTAAGTCTCAGAATATGCTGTAGGCAAGCTATTCTTAGGGTGAGGAGAGAATAGGGCTTGATGATTGGACTGTAAAGAGGACATATGCATTTAGGAGACAAAATTAAAGGTCAAGGGAAGAGGTTTTATTTATTTATTTTTTTAATTTTTGTGTTAATCCTCACCTGAGGATATTTTTTCCATGGATCTTTAGGGAGAGAGTAGAAGGGAGGGAGGAGAGGTGGAAGAGAGACTGGTTGCCTCCCACACTGGACCCCTGCTGGTCAAGGGTCTAGCCTGCAACCAAAGTACATGCCCTTGACCAGAATCTGGGACCCTTCAGTCCATAGGCTGATGCTCTATCCACTGAGCCAAACCAGCTAGGGTAGAAGCAGGACTTTTTAAAACTACACAACCCTCTACATGAAAGTGCTTGCTTAATGCTTTGCTGAACTATTGTTATTTAGTTGTGCATATTCTTGTCCTTTTTAGTATTCCCTAAATGAGAATATGACTATACTCTTTTTTTAAAATATATTTTATTGATTTTTTTACAGAGAGCAATGGAGAGGGATAGAGAGTTAGAAACATCGATGAGAGAGAAACATCAATCAGCTGCCTCCTGCACACTCCCCACTTGGTATGTGCCCGCAACCAAGGTACATGCCCTTGACCGGAATTGAACCTGGGACCCTTGAGTCTGCAGGCCAATGCTCTATCCACTGAGCCAAACCGGTAGGGCATGACTACACTCTTAATACTTCACAACAACTTATAGTAAAAAGCATATCTGATAATTGACACAGCTAGTTTTGGACTACTTATTTAATCTTTTACTCATAATAGTGTTAACTATATTTTGCCCAAGCAAAATCCAGAAAACCCTGGGTTTTGTTGTTATTGTTTTTAAACAGAAAATGTCACAGTAAGGTCTGGATTTATATAGTACACTAGAGGCCCAGTGCATGAAATTCGTGCATGGGTAGGGTCCCTAGCGGCTGCCAGATGCAGGCCAGGGTCTCCCTTCCCCGGCTGCCTGCTGCCATCGGGGCATTCTTTCATTCCGTGCCACCCCCTGGTGGTCACCGCACGTCATAGCGAGCAATCGAACTCCTGGTCAGTCGAACTCCCGAGGGGACACTTTGCATATTAGGCTTTTATATATATAGATGATGATGAGTGATCACTAATTATCAGTCGTGGCAAATCACCACATACAAAATTTCTGTGACAAGCAAATATACATGCTAGTAACATTTCAAAGAAAAGCAAAGAAGCCAGAAGATGATTTCTATATTCTAAACTTGACAGAACTTAAGTTGTAAATATAAACGTAAGTTTCACCACTGACTATAAATTCAAAATAAGCTGTTGTTGTTTTATTTGTATTAATTAATGCAACTTAATGAAGTTTCCCCATTTAATTTATATAACAAATTCACTCATGTATTCAACCAATAACTATTGAGCACCCACTGTATGCCAGTAGGACAAAATAATCAAAGTTCCTTTTTCTCAATGAGCTCACATTCTGGTAGTGGAGACAGATGCTGTATTTATTATAAACTAGAGGCCTGGTGCATGAAATTCGTGCATGGGAGGTGGGGGGTGCTCAGCCAGGCTTGACCCTCTCGTAATCTGCCTGCTACCTTATTGCCCCTAACCACTCACCTGCCTGCCTGATTGCACCTAACCACTCTGCCTGCTTGCCTGGTCCCCCCTCACCACTCGCCTGCCTGCCTGATCACCCCTAACCACTCTGCATGCCTGCCTGATTGCCCCTAAGCACTTGCCTGCTTGCCTGATTGCCCCTAACTGCCTCTGCCTCGGCCCCTACTGCTGCAGCTTCATTCAGAAGGACTTCCGGAATGACGTCGGAAGCTCGTTCGGCTGTCCGGACTAATTAGCATATTATGCTTTTATTATTATAGATGCCCTGAAGAAACATTTGGCAGTGAAAGAAGATGAGAGAGAGAGAGAGAGAGAGAGAGAGAGAGAGAGAGAGAGAGAGCGCTTTTATTTTACATGGAATGACAAAGGAAGGCATTCCTGATCAAATGATATTTGGGGAGACTGGAAGAAAATGGGAGAAAAAGTCATCTAGTGAAGACCATTGCATGAAGGGCACATTTTAAAAATATACATGTATTTTATTGACTTCAGAGAGGAAGGGAGAGATAGAAACATCAATGATGAGAGGGAATCACTGATTGACTGCCTCCTGCACATCAGACCGAGCCCGCAACCCAGGCATGTGCCCTTGACTGGAATTAAAACTTGGGACCGAACGAGTCCGCAGGCTTACTTTGGGTGGTGAACACAAATATACTGATGATGAATTACAAAATTGTACACCTGAAACCAATATGATTTTATTAACCAATGTCACCCCAGTAAATTCAATAAAAATTTTAAAAAAATATAGTAAATGGCTTTGCTAGTTCACTTACTCTGGCTTGCAGCCCTAGAATAAAAGATTCCATATGGAGACTATGGAAAAAATGAAATAATCTATTTTGGCTTAAAAAGAAACCCAATTTGCTATAATTTTAATATTAAGAAATATGTCATCTTGATCAAATATGCTATAAATGAAATATCTAGTTATTTAAATAAACAAATATACATTGTATTGCACTTTAACAGTTGTACAACAAGAGATCCCATAAAATGAAAACAAATTCATTTGCAAATTTTAGAAATGCATAGTTTGTATGCTGACTTGCCTCCATCTTAGGTAACAGCTGATAACGCCAAGCTATTTTCATCTTATTGTTAAATTCTGATGTTTCATCATTATGTACATCTTCACCAAGTTCTTTTTTACAATTATCATCAAGTAATGGTGCAGGAAGTCCCTAAGAAAACAGAATAACACATTATTGAGCATGTGTGGCAAAAAAAATTGACCATTTTCTTAAATAATGATATTAGCAATATTAGAATTTTCTAATGTATTAAAACTTGATGTCTTAAAATTGGTTCAAGCATAAAGTCATAACAAAAATAAATCTAAAACAGAGAAAAGGGGTAAATATAATATAAAATGTGCAGTTTAAATTTTTAGTAATGAACTGGAATTTAAAGAAAATATTCCAATTTTTATACTAACCAAAATCAACTGCTGTTGCAACAAAAGGCTGTGGTCATATTTTAAACTTATACACTTAAAGCAAAGTCTCAAATTAGCACTTATGTATTACATGTAATTATTGTTATATTTGCCATAAGGTAAAAATAAAGCTTGTGCGCAATCTGTTTACTGGTTTGTAATTCCAGAATTCAAAAATTCATTCACCGAAATAATGGGTGAAAAAATAACTAAGAATAAAGACATTTATTTTGCCCATTTCAAATATTAGTTTTGCACCTGCAAGCTTATGCTTCTTCTTTAAAAAAAAAAAAGAAGAGTTTAAAAATCTGTGCTTAAATGAAGAGACGATGGATTCCAATTTTACCTGGTTTTTGGGTAGCTGACCTACTGAGTGACTACAGAAAACATAATGAAAACAATTTTTTTTTTAAGAAACACACATACACACAACAACAACAACAATTTTTTTGGTGAGCGAAAAGGTACTATAGAAATAATGCAAAGAAAAAAGAACATAAGTTTCTTGGAGAAAGAAAGCCCATGCAATAATTGTATCTTTTCTTAGCCAGAATCGTAAAGATAATGTTAGGCTGGCTTAGTAAACATGATCTTGTGCTAATGGTCTAAATTTCAACCTTTACTTTTCAAGGTCAGATGTATTTATACTTAGAATCAAGTTAACTAATCAGCTGGACAATGCATTAAGCATCATATATGGTAGTCAATTCCTAAAAGACATCCAATTAGATTCACATTTTAATTTATGACAGCATTAGAAACTAGTTATATTATGTAAGCTCTGAATCCATTGTTCCTAGAGTAGTATTAGTATTTTACAAAATATAAAGTAACTTTGTTTTCTGATGGAAGTAAATATTTCTAAGATGTACAGTACAATATGGCATAGTGGTTATGAATTTGAACTCTGCAACAAGACTGTTTGGGCCCAAATCTTGACTTTACTATTTGCACTAGTAGCTTTGTGTCAATGGTTATGCTGAACACCTACTGGACTTCTCTGTGTCTCCATTTATTATCTGAAGAATAGGAAAAAAAGTATTTACTTCAATGCATTGTTGTAAGGAAAAATGAATTAAAAATGTAAAATATAGAGAATGGTGCATGCCACATATTAAGCACTCAAGTAATGTTCGATTATATGAATTCAGTCAAATAACTGTCTTAACCAATACTCAGGACCACACATTTTGACTGTCAATACCAGTTACTAATATAAATATTTGGGTTAACAATTTTTTTCATCCCAGGGACACAATTATAACTACGACAAAAGAATAAAGTAAAAAAAGCCAACCTCTCCCACAATAGTCATTAATGACATTCACAGCATATACTTATGTGTATACATACATAGATATGTTAGACAAATACTTCCATAAAAGCAGTATATGATAAAATGCTATTAATAATTTTGTACTTTAATTTATAAAACAAAAATGAAGTAAAAGTGAAAGAATTGTTGAACTGATAAATGATTCTTTGCTTCAAGCGACATTAACATATTCTCCAGTAAGTTTAGAAATGAGATTATGAAGCCTATTAAGATGTAGGAGTCACTAGGTTCCTTTTTCTTTTTTTAATCTTTATTGTTGAAAGTATTACATATATCCTCCTTTTTGCCCCATTGACTCCCTCCAGCCAGCCCCCACTCCAGGCTTTCACTACCCTATTGTCTGTGCCCATGTGTTATGCATATATGTACACAAGTTCTTTGGCTGATCACCTTCCACCCACGCACCCTCCCTGGCCTTCTCTCCGAGATTCCGTGCTCTCTTCTGTGCTTCCATGTCTCTGGATCCACTCCATTCATCAGTTTATTTTGTTAAGTAGCTTCCACATAGGAGTGAGATTATGTGATATAAAAACATATAAAAAAGAAAACGATAACCTATTAACCAACTAACCAGAAATAATAACTCTGAACATATTTGAGTATTTCCCTCCAGCCTTTTACATATATTTTTAAAAATGTATATTAACTATTTGCCTATTAGAACATATAGTATTTGAATTCTATAATTATGATACTGTGAGCATTTCCACCTTTTTGTTTGAAGTAAGATTTTCAATGGCTGCATATTGTATTAAATAGCTTAATTAACATTCAACTGATCATTTCCTACTGTTGAACCTTTAGGTTGTCTGCAGTCCAAGAATAATATAATAAACATTGTTTATAATATATCCTTTGCATCTCAAATTATTTTCTCTGAGATACATAAACATTTAGAAAATAATAGAGAAAAATATGAAACAATCCAGTTTCTACTACTTGGCTTTAACAAACCTCAACAACTGGGATACCTGAAAAGCAAACCAGTAATTGCAGCAAGCAAGGAGTAACACTCTTGTGTGTAAACAGGAAAATTTGTTGAAAGTCTTTAAAAGAAACAATAAGACCCCGGGACCCTCCATTTCCCCACAGAGCCAGGATACTCCTCCTCCCCGACTGTGCAAGAGAAATGGAGAGGTCAAGTCGGACAAACTCTGGAAGCAGGAGCACGACAGAGGGCAAGGGTGAGACATCATGTGTAAGACAAGGAACACTAAAATCCTCAGGCAGAAGGGCAAGGCAGCTTCCCCTTACCATACACACAGACTCAGCTGACTCCCACTGCTAAACTCTCAGAAGGCCAGAAGCTCTCCTTACGCAGGGCAGGCAGGAGATTGGGAGATTAGAAGATTCCTCCCTGGGGAAACTGACAAAATTAAGAGAAAATACCTTTAGAGAGACTCCACTAGCTAATCCCAACCCCTAGAACTGTGAGAAAACAAATCTGTGTTTAAGTGACCCAGTCTATGGTATTTTGCAATGGCAGCCCAAGATGACCAAGAGGGATTCTAGTACTAAAAAAATGGCTACTGCTGTAACAAATACCTAAAAATATGAAAGTGGTTTTGGAATTGGATAATTCCAAAGGCTGGAAGAGTTTTGATATGCAAGCTAGAAGTTAGAGAAGTTAAGGGCGATTCTGGTGAAGTCTCAGATGGAAATGAGGAACATATTATTGAAAACGGGAGGAAAAGGAGGAATATATTATTGAAAACATTATGAAGTGACAAAGAACTTGGCTGACTTGTGTTCTAGTGTTTTGTAGAAAGTACTGCTTGGAAGTGATGAAAATGGATTTTAGCTGAGGAGACTTCTAAGCCAAGTTTTGAAGGAACAGCATGGTTCCTCCTAAGTGCTTTGGGTAAAATGCAAAAAGAGAGAAATGAATTAACAAAGAAATTTCAGCAAAAAGGAAACAGAACTTTAATTGGAAAAATCTTAGCTTATCCATATTGCAAAAAATGAAAAAGCTTGTTCTGAAGGAACAGTAAGGTTATGGCTGAACAACCATTTGATAAAGAGATCATGGGTGTGAAACGTGGATTAAAGCAGCCATCTCAGCAGAATCCAGGAATAGAGATGGAATTACACTGGTACAGACACTGACAGTTTAAACTAAAGAGAACACACAAGGCAGAATGGAATTAAGGAGAAAGCTGTTGAACTTTTTGGATTTTTAAGGACCCCAAATGTGATCAGAGGTCCTTGGAGCTGCCACTCCCATGACAAGTTTGCAAAAGAAAAAAGATAGAAGACTTAAAAATACCCGATTTCATAAAAAGGCCAAGAGACATATGAAAACATGCTCAAAGTCACTAATCATCCGAGAGGTGCAAATCAAAACAACAATGAGATACTGTATGACACCTGTCAGAATGGCTATCATCAACAAATCAACAAACGACAAGTGCTGGAGAGGATGTGGAGAAAATGGAACCCTTGTGGAAATGCAGGCTGGTGCAGCCACTGTGGAAAACAGTATGGAGTTTCCTCAAATGGAACTCCCATTTGACCCAGTAATCCCACTTCTAGGAATATATCCCAAGAAACTAGAAACACATATCAGAAAGGATATATGCACCCCTATGTTCATAGCAGCACAATTTACAATAGCTAAGATTTGGAAACAGTCTAAGTGTCCATCAGCAGATGAGTGGATTAAAAAACTGTGGTACATCTACACAACGGAATACTACGCTGCTGTAAAAAAGAAGGAACTTTTACCATTTACAACAGCACGGATGGACAGGGAGAACATTATACTAAGCAAAATAAGCCAGTCAGAGAAAGATAAATACCACATGATCTCACTCATTTGTGGAATACAATCAACAACATACACTGATGAGCAAAAATAGATCCAGAGACAGAGAAGCATTGAACAGACTGTCAAACCTCAGAGGGAAGGCAGAGAAGGGTGTGTATATGTTGTGGGGGAAGAGATTAACCAAAGGACTTGTATGCATGCATACTAGTATAAGCATTACCAATGGACACAGACAATATGGGGTGAAGGCATGTGCTGGGGTGAAGGCATGTGCTGGGGGTGGGAGTGGCCGGGAGAGGTCAATGGGAGGAAAAGGAGACATATGTAATACTTTAAACAATACAGAATTAAAATAATAATATAAACATAATGGAAAAATAAAACCATGTATTGTGAGCCAACTGCATTCCAGGCACTGTTACCCTGCCACTTAGTTGTATGTTCACTTTACTTTCACTAAATCACAGAAAACTAGAGGTATTTTTATTTGGAAAAAAAAATTTAATGTGAGCCACAAATGTGAGCCACATGTTTAATTTCTAAAAGCTACATTTAAAATGTAAAAAAACAGGAGAAATTAATTTTAATGTGTTTATATTTTCTTTAGACTGATTAACAAAAATATATTAACATATAATCACAA